TACAGGGAGGCATGAAAAATCTGTCTGTGGGTTGTTTTTGTAGTGAGTTCAATTCAGGGGTATCTGCAAAGGCTGGATTGTCAAAGTAGTTCTTCTCAAACACATAAAAGCAGCATGGAAGTCAGGAAGCCACTTGGATCTCCTAACCCAAGTCAACTGGCACTACCTGTATCTCCAGGCCTGATTTCTTATGGAGGCCAGAGACCCTGGCCACACTTCGTGGGAGTTCAGAATCTTCAAAACAGCCCAGATGAGTGCTGTGCCTAACCAGGGATCTTCTTTAATTTGGACTCATTCTCTTGGCTGTTCCTAGAGCAAGGAACACCACCCGGAACATGCAGCGCCCTGTGACTGCGCGTCCTGATTCCTACCAAGCCCAGCAGCCAACTCCAACCTCAGCTCCCTGAACTCTGCTTCCACGTTTAGCCAAAAGAGGCAGAGTCAGCCAAGCATTTCCCCAGCCAGTTTTTCTTGCAATAGAAGCCAAAGCCAGAAGCCCACCATTCTGCCCACAGAACCCCTCCATAATCCAGGCAAGCATCAGCCCCACACTTATGCCAGGCCCAGATGGGTACGCATCACATGCACACACAGGCCATCGTGGGCCCTGGCACAAGACACTTCCACACTAAGAAGTAGGGACTCAGATAAACAAAAGAGCAAGCTGGGGTAGGGTAGGGGACCCAAAGGAAAAAGAAAAGAAAGACACAGAAAAGTAAAAAAAATTTTTTTTAAATTTTTAAACCAACAACAAAAAAAACCATGATGGTTTTGCCCTCTTTATAGGACAGATAAACCAGGACTTACCTTTTGAGCAGAGCCTCGAAGCTGTTCTATGTTGGGGCTGCCGAACTGGTGGACAGTCTTCTCTATCACCAGGGGCCTTGAGCAAGTGTTGCTTTGGTTTCTTTCAAGAGTTGCTATTGGAGACATAAAACAACGTGCCTGGCGGGCACTATAAAAAAAGTAGAAGAAATACAGGAAGCTTGATCATCCAACAGGCAGTTAGGTGTTTTTAAACAAGGGCGCCAGGAGGGGAAATACACATGCAGTTTCTTTCTTCTTTCAAAAGTGAGGCCTCTGCTTGTTCAGTCACTGACTTTTGCTTATATTCCATTCTTGCATTTGGAAGTTGTGCTTCCTTCGCCAAGAGGAAAGTGAGGAAAAACCAGCAACAAGGAAACAGCAGCTCTGTCGAACAGAGGAAGAGCCGAGGAGGTGGCTGCCGGCCAGGGCCTGCGCTGGAGGGAGGCCAGACAAGGGGTAGCCGGGCTTCTCTGGGACAACTGACATTTTCTCGAAAGCAGAGAGGAAGATGGAAAGGCCAGGGAGGAGAAATGGGGAGGGGGTCTGCCATGGGAGGCCACCAACTCCACGGGGCACAGGGAGTGCAATCATCTCCCACTGAGGAACTTCTCCCCCCAGTGGCTTTCTTCTAAACTGGGATATTACTTTGATTTCCCTTCTCCCTCCTTCTCTCTCCCCCTCTCCCTCTATCTCTCTCTCAAAAAAAAGTCTGATTCTAACAATAGCTAGCATATACAAATAATAATTTTAATGTTATTGGCTCTTTTATTTCCAAGCCCAGTGTTCCGCATCTCTTCATTTTGTCAATAAATATGAAAACTGAGGAAATCAACTCTGCTCGTGTCAAAAAGATCCCCCCCCCCGCAAAAAAGAGAGAAAATTCACCTAACTTCCTATTTCTAGGGAAAATAAATAGCCATGCCATTTGTCTGAAGAACTCTCATTCTGCTCTTTTGTTTTGTTTTGTTTCAGTAGTTGGTGCTTCTGTTGTACATACCCAAAGTAGAGGGATGGCAGTGCAAAGGGACATGTGGACGGCGGGAGGAAGAGGCAAGGATAAAGGGAAAACCTAAATTGTCTTTCATTAAAAATATATATATATATGTGTGTATATCAGAACCAGAACAATGACCAGAGTCAGAGGGGTGGCCAATGGCCCAGACAGTCTGTCGCACGGGCTTAGCAGCTGCCCTTTTTATCTGATGTGGGCGAGCCCCGGCCACTGCGGCGTCCTCGACAGGAGCGAGGCTCTTCCAAATCGTCCTCATCAAAGCCGTGGAAAGTTGAGGTGTCACTTTCTGACGTGGAACCGAATAAGTCCTCCGTGGTGCGTGCTGCGGCCGCTGCCTCCTTCTCCTTCCTGCCTTCTCCTCCCAAATGAGCTGACATGTATGATGAATATATCAGCACATGGGTTAAGCAACAGGCAGCATCATTAATATTCTCATTACGTTATTACAATGTTATTCTTAATATCAAGATAACAAACCATTGTCACACCAAAAGGGATTAACCAGGTACATCACCTAGGGATGGGGATTTGGGGCAAAGCACGCTTTTCCAGGGAAGCAGAGTCCCTCCCCCGAAAAGGCATCATTTCTACCATAATACACATGTCCACAGCTTCTGACAGCCAGAGAAGCAACACGATCTCTCTCCTCTTCCGCATGCACACAGTCGCTTGCACGCTCACTCAACCCTGCCCCAGACCATGATTTTCTCGGTGGTTTTTAAGCCTGCTTGGCATTTCTTTGGTGTTTTCGCTTGATGCTGCTTTGAACAATGTTTGTCCATCACTTTGACAGTCAGCTTTACAAAAGGTATTACTGTCAGATAACCCATTCAAGGTGGTTAAGTCCATCTATTTTTATTTTTCCCTGCTTCTAATCCCATTCTTTCAATTCTATCCTTACACCATGTGGTTCATTTGCACTGAAAGCAAAAAGAAGTTGGAAAGTCTGATAATTGGTAAGTCGTTGAAGAGTTTCTGTCTTTAACCACTGGAGGAAATATTTGTGATCTGGACCCACATAGAGATGTGCACACACATGCACACCTACACACACGTTCCGGCCGTTAAATATGCCCAGGACTTAGTTATTCCAGAAAGTTCAGATTGTCTAATGTAACTCAAAACATTAAAAAGGTGAGAAATAGGGGTAGAAGGGCCTACTAAAATACAGAATCTTAAAATCAGTAAAATCCAGGTTTAAACTCTTAAATATTCTAACGGACCCCAAGCTGCCTCCCCAGACAGTAATGATGAACCTCTTATAGGGCCAATTTCAACCATCCCACTTTCTCCCAGGAAACAGAAGCAGTGGGGTAGGTGGGCAGGGAAAGGCAGCTCTTCGAAGCTCCAAGCTCTTCTCTGGAAAGACCCAAGGGAGACCCCAGAGAATTATTCGCCCACCTGCCTTAAAAGGTATGGGCTAATGCCACCTGTGTATTCCCAAAGGATCAACTATTTCAGGAACATCAGAGTCACACCTTGACTAAGTGATCCACAAAAATTAATCTTCGGCAACTGCACAGAGAATATCTATGCTGATTTAAAAAAAAAATAAAACGACCCCCTGAGTCACATAGCAGACAGAACCTAGGAAAGAAAAGCTGAGTGAAGGTTGTAGAAAGAGAGGCTTAATGCAGAATAAAACCACCATCCCACTTCTGATTCCCATCAATCAGATGCAAGTACCCCACCTTTTATAAGATAGAAAAGAGGAAATTATAGTGGTTTGCAATGAGAATGTGTGTACTCTCCAATCCCATCTGAACCTATAGCAGCCCATAATATCCTGCTTCAAGCAGCACTCCAAGTGACCTTGCTTCAGGCAGTAGAGATTTTGTCTGATTGCTTGCTCTTGAAAAACAATGAGTTAACTTTCATTTGTTTTATTTTCTTTTTAAGTATCTAAAAACCAGAGTCCACAATCACAAGGGCCTTATCTTCTAAGCTAGCATCAACAGAGTAAGGTGTCATGTTTGGACTGTATGTGAATTGAGAGAATTTCACAAAGGGCCACCCTGGCAGGATCCTTGAGAGTTAAATGTTGAGGGCTGTGTGCAGTGGAAACCAAGTTCTTTTCCAATTACCAGTTTCCCACTCAAGCCAGTCTTGATTCCTAAACAACCCTGACATCAAAATGTAAAAGAAGTAAAGGTAAGATTTTTCAGACCAAACAAGGAAGAACTGGGTTGCTGCAATAAACCAAGATTTGTTCATTTCAGTCCTTGCCTGGGGGCTGGGAATAGAAATGAGACTAGGTCAAAGGGTGGTTAGGAGCAATGACTCCTCATGCTGGAAGCAACTGTTCAAACTGTTTCACCTACTAGTCAGTAATTGATGAAACTAATGATGCATAAGAAATTCTCTCTCCTCTTGTGTTCTGATCTAGTTATAGCATAAAACAATATGAAAATAGGTAGCACTAACCTACCATGATCAGCCAAAAAATAATGGATTGGTTAGAACTAAAAACTGAAATAATAGGAAAGACCTGAACTCATTTTAAGAATGAAAGAGTCTCTTTTTTATATTTTGGTCTTTAGGTAGGTTAAAGGTGAAAAGAATAAATAAAAGTACACCAAGTCAACTCCAGATTTGCCGCAGGAATGCCTACCCTTTTGCCTCCTTGATTTATAAGAGTCTCTTTATTCTGTTCCACAAGAAAATGAGATGAGTGACCAATGAAGGTGGTGCATTATGCAGCTACTTAGGAGCCCAGGGATCCCTGATTCCCACAATTTACAATGTGGCTGTTTTCCCAGTATGCATATTTCCATACTCTCCTGGATTGCCCCAGGTACTTCCACAGAATAAACACATCTTTTTGTGCATCATCCAACACAAGAGAGCATGCTGTATGAAAGCATGTATCTCCAGGTTTTCCCATTCTACCTTGCTATCGCCTGCAACAACATAACACAAAGTAATGTCCACCTCAAAGGCCAGACACAAGTCAAAACCTTCTCCTTGACTCTTACTCTGGAGCTCAGGGCATAACTTGTTTCTTAAGACCTAAAGAAAAAAAAATATCAAAATGACCTAAAAACTCCCCTCCACTCAAAATCATCACCACCATCACTTCTCCACTCTACTCGTCCACCCCTCCCCCACAAGATGGCAGAGGGAAGCAAGCAGAAGAGTTCCTGGCCTATGGGCACACAATGCAGGAAGGGGCCACACTCACCAGAACGTCCACAGTCTGCACAGGACACCAGCTCTTCAGGCCGCCCACTCTTCTTATTCATGTTAGAGCCCCCCAAGCAGAAGTCACAGTAGTTATTGGGAATGACTGTCCCATCTGGTCCTTTTTGGGCTGTGGAAACATTAAAACAAATTCCAATTTTAGGCTGAGATGTGTTCCTACTGCTACCTCTTCTCTTCCCACAGTGTGGCAGAATCCACTCCGGAAAGAATATGAAGTTTAGAATGTAAGGGTTTGTTACAACCAAGTGGTCATATTAGTCTGGGCTTTCTTTTTGATCCTTCTTGGTTCAATGGTACTAATGCCTTGCAAGTATTCCAGAGTTTAATTTCTGCAGTATTTCCCAGTGGTTTTTATAGAAACCGCCTTCCTCCTCTGATTGCATCTCTAGATAAACAATTCATCCAGAAGTATTCCTAGTCAAGTGAACTTCGGTCAACCTTGAACAACCATCCTGCAAGCCAAGACCTCAAACATCAGAAGGAAACCATAAATAGTGGTGGCTAGAAGAGGAGCAAGATTCAATGCCTGGACCTTGCTTTTGAGAAAAACATTCCCATTTAGGAAATAGTCCTCCTCCTATTCCTGAAAAGGAAAATAAAAAAGTATAACCACTGGCTGGTCATTTCCAGAAAGCGCACTGGAGAGGTTCTTAAGGACTTCGGTGAATATCTTGGCAGGTACACAGGTATCTGTTCTTTTCCATTCCCCTGAAGTCAGATTCACTGTTCATAAAAAAGCCCCACACAACTCAGAAAAAGTTAATCTGTAGAGCCCAAGTGCCTAGAATTAGAACTATATACAAGTTTACTAGGAGCTAGCTCAGTGTTATGCCAGAGATGGGTCAAATGGTGAATGGTAAGATGGGTCAAATGCTTAGCATTCAACCTATTAATACTATAACCAATTCCTGTTGAGAGTCCTTAAACAAAGGCAAAGAAAACTCTTGGGACATGACCTCAAAAACAAAGCTTTGTAAGAACAGCATGTCTTTTGAGTACCAAAATCATTCTCTTGTTTTGAGGGGCTGATGGAAAAGCCTCAGACAGGTTCTTTCCTGGGAGAATTGCTTCCATTTTCCTGTTTCTTTTCTCCTAGTGTGGACATTTCTTTGTCACACACACACACACATTTCCTGTTTGCAAATAAAAGGAAAAAATCTCTTCATTTGTGGGATCAGCCTTAACCACTATCTTCTGGCATCCCCAACATCTGCTGCTACCTTTCATTATTCGCTGGCTAACATTAATCAGGGTCCCGAAGGGTACAAATCTGTGAAAGAAAGCAGATATGTGAGCAGAAATACCATCCAGACAGTAACTGATAAACAGATTCACCCACTTTAATATGATTCCCTCTGGCCTTCGCTTCCTCCATGCCTCTGCTTTGCCTCCAGGATTAGAAAACTTACCTGGGGAAGGCGGAAGACAAAAGCTAGCAGAATTATATTATGGAGGGTTAATCCATTTATCAGTTGCTATTTGGATTGTTTAATCAGTTTCTAAGTCATTGATCTCCATCTTCAGGGAGGCAGACAATTCTCTGCAAGGCAAGTGTTGGCTGTTTGGGGGAGGCAGAGGAGCTGGCCCAACCCCAGAGGTCTATAGAGTCTGGGCTTTTCTTCCTCTGCCACTAGAGCTCAAAGACATCTGCATGGCACACAGAGTAGTTTTACAAATAAACTCTCAAAACCAGTGCTTCTGCAAAAACATTACTCTGCCTATAAAATGTGTTTTGCCCAAATCCAGAAGTACCAGCGTCCCTTTCGTCCTTCTCCTTCAATCGCCATCTTCACCATTTTTAAAATTTCTCTGAGAAAATCCAATCATGTCTAGCAAGCAAATAAACACAGGCTTTCTTCACCACAAAACAGGTGGAAAACTATCAAGCGGTGAACATAAATCAGGGGCAGAGTATACAAAATTGGGCACCAAGGGTAAACCAAAGCCAAGTTTCATGAGTGACAAGAACTGGATCTAAAATATGCAAATGCTGATCACAATGGATAATACTTCCTGCATAAAAGCAATTAAAGGATCCCCTCTATATCATCCCCAAAACTCTCCAGGGGCCCAGTTTCTTCATCTGTCTCTCTCCTGTACTCTTAGGGACCTCCTGATTTCCTGGCCCTTCACAAGATCTTTTAAGAAACCAAAGAATCTGATGGTCTCCACCACACTGTATGCCCTGTGATATATGAAAATGGGGGAAAACATAGAGTGTAAGACTGTCCAGCTATTTACAATATTCACCACCAGCAGACTAGTGGTAGAATACCCCATTGAGTCAAGAACTTCCATACAGCAAAAAATAAAAACTCAGAAATGATCTAGTAGAGCAAAGCAGATAGTATGGAGGAAATGATCCTATGTGAAAAGACCAGAGGAGCAGAATTTAATTTCTCTGAAGAAGAGACGTTTCTAATGAGACAGAGTTCATGCAGGGTCCCCACATCTGTGTTGGTTGTTGGCTATACAAAGTGCCCATCCAAGGGAGTCAAGGAGATGTTAAAATCCCATTTGTCAGCCCTGCTGAGTGCAGCTGTGACATGCTGGGCAGCAGATATACTTTTGTCTAGCAATGGCCCAGTACAGAAAGTGACAGTGAACAGTTATGCTTTATTTTCAAAGAAATCATTTTTGTTGCAGTTCCTACTCTTTCCTTGACACAATGAACTCAAAGCATCTTTCCATCATGGTAAAATGCCACAGCAGGGACTAATAGCTCTACATCTGATTCTCTTACACATTTTGGTATTTAGAATTGGTTTCAGAGTGAAGGTTCTCCCATTGAGCATTCCCAATTCCCAGCCAGAAATAAGCAGTCATGCTTTGGGGAGGGCAGTCTGTTGACATCACTGTTATAACCGTTCTCTTGCTGACACATGTGTGCCTCATCTCCCATACTAAATGATCTACTCCTTCAATCCCAGCACCATATCTTATTCATTGCTGCAATGTCTATGTGTCTTGTACACTGAAAATGGTTGCTAACAATTTGTGGGATGAACGGCTTAGAAATGGATGACAGAACTATATAGACATAGTTTAAAGAATAAAACTGAGTGTGCATAGGTTATATGCAAATACTATTTTGTTTTATGTAAAGGACTTGAGCATCTGCAGATTTTGCATGCTATCCATATTTTTCTTCCTCTTGCTATCACATGTAGATGCCCCTGGGACAAAGCACTGTTTGCTTTCCCTATGGCAGAGTTATCTGTTGCTCTGAATATCATTTACTGCCTACCCTTGTTTCATTTCTCAACTCAAAGACAAGAGCTAGCTGAGTTGGTCATTTGACCTGGATTCAAGGCCAGCTCCCAGAGTATGAAGATGTGGGTAACTGAAGGGCCATAACTCATTGCCTCAAGAAAGAGACACCAGGTCGCACCTACCCACTCAGCCTCCATCTTTTCACCAGCTTGCAGAGAACAAAAAGAAGCAGGAGTTTATTACACAACACAACTCCACTGAAGCTTGTCCTGGATGTGCTACATACACTATTTTGTTGATTCTTACAGAATCTTTGTGACATAGGAATTATTTGATACATGAGGCCACTGATATTCAAGAGATTAAGGTCTCAGTTACAAAGAGGGGGAGATGGGATTCAACCCACTTTGTCTATGTTCTTAGAGATTCTACCACTAATCACACTTGTCTGCCTCAAGGGAAGTCTAGAGGCAAACACTTCCTGGCCATACCTTGCATATCAAGTATTTCATAAATCTCTTTAGAGTCAACTTGATTCACCCAATATGCTATTTACAAAGCCCAAAGTGATAAAAATTATTGAGATCGGCCTGATAACAGCAGAAATTCCTTTTGAACTTAATGTCCCTAGCACGGTAATCCATCCCGGGTGACTCTGTTTATCGTCATATAGTCTGTGAAAACACTTCTCTGGAGAATTCCAGAGGCTCATGAAGGAATGTTTTTTAAGTCAAGCTAATACCATGGCTATATTGGCCTATGGCCTGACCCAGCCGTGAGCAATTTCCTGGTACCGTATATGAGATCACTATAAAAAGGATTTTACTATAAATAGGAAGCTCACCCAGACCTTGCAAGCAGGATTTAAATAGAGATTCTGCTTCTGCTTATGCGAAATTGAGTCCCACTTTCTAGAATAAGATGGCAGGGAGGGCAAAGACCCGCATGGTATCTCGATGGCAGAGTCCATGATGATGGATTTGATTTACTGTTGACTAATGCTCATGGGCTGAGATCATAGAAAAGATACAAGTAAGCTGCTGAGAAAATAAAGTAAGCCTTAAGAGTTTAGGAATTTACCTGGGGGAGATAACTCTAAAAACAACTCAAAGGGGAAAAAAGGGAAACCAGGTGCAAAGTTCATGAAGAAATGCAGAAAAAAGTAACAGAAGGTAGGAAGCAGCATTCAAATAACTCAAAGCAAGAGAAAAGAAAAGCTAAGCCTCAAAAAGTCTCAGCACTATGCTCAAGGAAGGGAGAACAGGCATTCTAGAAGAGAATTAGTACACGCTACAGGATATTTTAGTTTGATCAGGACTTATATCTATACTAAATAAGACCACAAATCTTCCATAAAACTACCACGCAGGCAGGGCTGTCTTTCCCCCTTTCAGTTCAAGCTCCGCTGCCACTCGTGAAAAGAATGAATGGCATGGATTGTCTGGCCACCACAACAGTCCCTCACCTAGCTTTGGCAGAGACCAGAGCTGCACTCTCTTTGTCCCAGCAAAACAGGAAGCTGGCCGGAAGGTGAGGCTCCTCCTTGGCACACACACAAAGGCATGGCCTTGCATTCTGAGCAGACCATGGGACTTCCTGCCAGGGCCTGGGGTGCACAAGCACACAACCGTACTCGGGAGACTCCCAGCCAGTCCTAGCCCCTGCCCCAGCTCAGCAGCTGTTTATCCAAGGCCTGCTAAATTGAGGTGTGCAGCCCTTAGGGAACTTGGGGGCCATGTGCAGAGTCGTCCAGGAAAAGATGTGCCTCTCCTCACTCCTCTCACTTGTCCCCCACTGCCCTCCATACTGACAGTTCCTGTGTCCCTCCACAGGTCTGACATGTTTCCATGGCAACTGGAATCCTGGGCTCCAGCAGCCTCCGCTCTTGCCACCTGT